TTTTTAGAGGACTTTTGCTAACGGTTCTCCGGCCTGTTTTCTTTTATCTTCCCTCTGAGAATTTTGTATAACATATTTTTTTCATTTTTTAAATTTCAAGCTTTTATGTGTGTGTGTGGGGGGAGGGGGTAGGGGGGTAAGGGATACAAAACATTGTGTGTATAAATGCGACATTTGAGATTCTAAAACTATGATATTGTTAATTGAAGAAAAAAAACATAAGCTTTGTGGGCGTGAATCTTGAAACAACTGGATCGAAATGAAATTTGGTGCGCATAATCTAAATTATGGCAAACTCCAGTAATGGCGAACCCTGTAGAATAGAAATGTCATGATTGGCCCAAAAAAAAACAAAAAACTTTTCATTGTCCACTTATTCGATTGTTTTGTATATATTGTTTCTCGCCTCATTGTACTCACCCAATTCACAAATGGGTTAGATGTTCTTAGAGCTGCGACCTTGCCCGTATACAGTGCACTGGCTTTTTTGTTACTTCAKTTGTTTAACGTTTTGGTTTCTATTGATTGTTCCTTCGACCGATGATTGTTAGCGCGTGAGGTTAATAAATCACGTGAGGCGCGGAAAGGGTTGAATTATTTCCCGCAGTATTGCCTAACTTCACAGTTGGATATCTGTCCTACCTGTTCGAGCTATGATAATTTTTTAATCCTTTTAGTCCTTTTATCCAGAGAGGTCAATCTTTCGGTTGAGTGCCGTGACTGCCATGCTTAAATCCTGTGTTCAGGCTCCTTTCGTACCATTACTCATGATCATGCCAACATGTAACGCATTACTTTATTATTATCACCATCATCATCATCATCATCATTATTATTATTATTATCACTACTATTATTATTATTACTATTACTTTTCTTTTTTTTAAAGAATATAATCAAAATCTATATATACAATATGTAAATATATTTGCAACAAATTAATAAATAAAATTTAAAAAAAGAGAAAAAGAAAAACTATAATAAAATATACTATAATGAAAATATATCTACTAATGTACAACCATAAAATCTATTTAGTAAAAACTAATCCTAATAATATATGTTTAAAAATAATAAAAATAATGGCAAACATTCATATATATGGGGGATTATTATTATTTTAAATCCTATAGTTTTTCATTTTATTTTTGTTTATCATTATCTTAA